TTATTTCATAAGTGCTAACAGGCTCTCAGAGTCACCAGCGATTGTCTGCTGAAGAAAGAAGGTTGTAAATCTACAAGGCAGGCATTGATCGGACCTCAAAACAACTTTTGTGTATAAAAACACCACACATTTGAAAAGCCAGTGGGAGAGGTTTGCATTGTATACTTGACATTTTATAAAATGGTGTGATGAAGGGATAGGAATAGAGTTCATAGCAAAGACATCTAAATAACGAACAGAGTGCGGTATTTTGCTCATGCTTTGTCCCTGAGCTCAATCCAAGCATGGCCTGTGGTAAATGACTACAGATGTCTCTCTGTCATATGTCAAAAGTAATAGTAAACATGATGAATAATAAGTCAGAGCCTGAAAACATCAGATTTGATTTAACATCAGGGCATCGACGTATTCTCATACACTCATAAATGCCAATGATGCGCACAGCTCTCTTTCAAGTTGCAAGTCTTAAATTTTTGGTGCTGGCGTGCATATTAAGTACATAACCATAAATGATGTCACATCAGTGACAGTTTGCATAGCTGATGTGTAGAACAGATAGCATATGTAATATTGGCAGTGTCCGGACAGTGTCATATGTCAAAAGTAATAGTAAACATGATGAATAATAATTCAGAGCCTGAAAACATCAGATTTGATTTAACATCAGGGCATCGACGTATTCTCATACACTCATAAATGTCAATGATGCGCACAGCTCTCTTTCAAGTTGCAAGTCTTAAATTTTTGGTGCTGGCGTGCATATTAAGTACATAACCATAAATGATGTCACATCAGTGACAGTTTGCATAGCTGATGTGTAGAACAGATAGCATATGTAATATTGGCAGTGTCCGGACAGCGAGATTTAGTTTAGAATAATACATTTAGTTAGGAAACAATATCTCTGTCAAGAGACTGCAATGCAAACCTGTCCACACAGATTCTACATTCACCATTTCTCAATAAATAAAGGTTTCTTTATAAAGACAGTACGCCTCTGAGAAGCTCAATCAGCTGCCGAGCTTTGTATATGTAAAACTTTTTTGCCTAAATAATCATGATGCAGCCAATGAATTCACATATATTACAGCCAGCTGTGTTTACTTTATAATTGCCAATCTGAAAATGCTTCAAGGAACAGAGGGTCTTTTAGGGCTCGAAGCCACAGAGTTGCGCGCAAGCTGTAGGTACTTGCCGGAGAGCCACGTCGTCATATAATTCACTCCAAAATGACTCTGTTTTTGGAGAGTATTTTGTTTTTGCAGCATTTTACTCTGAACTGATCAATTATAATAAGCTTAAAGAAATAGTTTACCAAAAATTAACATTTGCTGAAATTGTACTCAAGGCCATCCAAGATGTAGATGAGTTTGTTTCTTCATCAGAAAAGGTTTGGAGAAATGTAGCATTACATCACTTGCTCACCAATGGATCCTCTGCAGTGAATTGGTGCCGTCAGAATGAGAGTCCAAACAGAGCTGATAAAAGCACGGCTCCTCTCCTTATGAAGTGAAAAGGTGTGTTTGTAATAAAAAAATTCAATACGAAGAAATTTTTAACTTCAAACTGCTGCTTCTGTCTAAAATATGAGTCCTCTATGCATTATATTGCTTTCTCTAACCACAATAGTCCAAAACATTTAAAAAAAAAAAAAAAAGTGTTAGCGGATTTTTATGTGAGAGAACAACAGGGGATTAACGTTTTCACTAGAGGAAATGTTATGAATTATGTTATAATGAATTATGGATATATTTTGGCCAGAAATTACAGTTTAAAGTTAAAACACCATAATGGATTTACTTCTTACAAACACACAGCTTTTGACCTCACAAGACTGTAATTGATGGACTGGAGTCATGTGGATTACTTGTGGATTACTGTGATGTTTTTATCAGCTGTTTAAACTCTCATTCTGATGGCACCCATTCACTTCTGTGAATCCATTGGTGAGCAAGTGATGTAATGCCAAATTTCTTCAAATCTGTTCAGATAAAGAAACAAACTTATGTACATCTTTGACGGCTTGAGGGTGAGTACAATTCCTGTAAATGTTTATTTTTTGGCAAAATATTTCTTTAATACAGTCTTTATAAGATTATTCAACCATCAGGCACTCTTTTGGCAGATTTTACCATGCATTATTATGCAAATAAATTTGTATAGTAAAGCAAATCAGGTTTTATTGTTCTGTCCTTTTGGACAGTATTTTCGAGGAGAGTCTGTATAGCGGGACAAACTTCACAGCTGTGAAGCAAGACATTCATGATTTCCAAGGACCTCTCATGAGGTATAGAAATATACTGTATAATTAGTTAATAAATGTGTGACATTTTGTGTTCCTGGACGCTGGGGAGCTACTCACATCATGCTAAAGAGAATGGAATGATTAATTTTTTTTTTTTGTGGAGACTTAGACAAATCCAATCTCATGTTCACTGGAGTGTTATGTTTCTGTGAACTGCTGAGGACAGAAGGTGGGGGAACAGAAAGGAAGTATGGTAGATTTCTATGATGAAATGAAAACAAAACACAAAACAAGTGCATGCTTCAGAATTTTTTTAGATATGGGAAGGGACCAAACTTAAGCCTGAAAATGATGATTGCTGCGACTGTAGGCTAAACATAGACCAGGATCTAGGCATTGGAGACCCAACCGCTCTGAAGGGATTTACAAATTTTTTTTAAAATAAATACAAACAAAACAAGGTTAGAACTCTATAAGTTTTAGAGGTTATAGAACACTATACGTTTTTTCTTTTCTTTAATTTTCTTTTCCTTTCCTTTCTTTCTTTCTTTCTTTCTTTCTTTCTTTCTTTCTTTCTTTCTTTCTTTCTTTCTTTCTTTAAGAGTTTAAAACTTGAATTTAAAGCTAAAGCATTGTTTTAAAATACTTTTCTCAGGATAAAATATTCCAAAATTACATGACATGCAAGAAAAAAAATGGAAAAAAATAGTAGGCTAAATCGTGCGCACGATTTACTAATTCGTTCCCTCGATTTATAAATCGTGTGCACGATTTAGCAAATCGAGGGAACGAATTAGTAAATCATGCTTTATAAATCGAGGGAACGAATTAGTAAATCATGCGCACAATTTATAAATCGAGGCAACGAAATAGTAAATCGTGGCACGATTTAGCCTACTATTTTTTTTCCTGCATGCCATGTACGGGGCTCCCTACAAAATACTTTAAATATTTTTACATTTAATACTTTAAATATTTCTATAGAAAGAGGGATGGATTTATTCACTGAAGGGCTCGTACATTTTTCGTCACTTTCAGTATCACATTTGCCTCTATGGTTATTTTTTGTCAATAATGTTTCACAAATAAAAGCTATATGACATTTTAATTGACATTTTCCCCAAAAGAATTCTGAAGATATAGTTCTAGAAATAACCTTAAACATTTGTTATTACATTTAAATCACACAAAAATATGCAATATAAAACATTTCCACCACTGAAAACATCCAGCCTTTGCACAAAGGTAAATAGGCAGTTTTTCTGAAGTGGTGTCACACTGATTATACAAGAGCCACACAATCACAGAGGAAATTGGAGAGTGTAAACACTGGCAGAGAAGTTCTCAGAGCTGTCAAACACATCTGCGTGATTGAGCACAACCTTGTGCTATAGAGTAAACATGAGAAAAGTCATGGGTACATCACTGTAGTGGGAACCATGGCAAACTACAGGACTGTTGGGAGAGATTGAGTGAAACATAGCGCTCAAGACAGATCATATAATCCAGCAGAGGAAGTTAATGACTAATGGTCCAGTTTTTTCCCTTTCTGGAGGAAAATAATATGGCTGTAATAATTTCCTGATAGTGGGGTGAAATAGGAAATGGATTCTTCATAACGATGTATCTTATTTTTGTACTAATGTCAAGGTTTTCCTCCCATAGTCTCTTAAACTGATGACATCACCACCCCAATCATCGTTCAGTGTTTATAGCTGCTTATATTTGTATTATATTGTGTTGAATAATGTGCTTGGTGTTTGTAAGAGATTGAATAATAATGCAAAGGAAAACTAATCATGATGTATTGCAGAGCAGCATTGCGGCTTGGTGCAAGAGATTTTTCATTGTCAATAGTCATAAACTATTTTTGGATGTGTGATATGCATAGTACAAAACCTATGTCATGTTTACACAATACACTTGATGAAAAAGGGCAGCAAGACAAGGAATTCCCATGTTTTGGCACAGACTTGTTCAAAACTGTAACCCACCTGTGCACTATAAAAGACAGCTCTCATTAATTGCATTTTTCCTTTGCCCTGTAGCCAGGAGCCAGTGCTCTCAGAATGGCCAATATCCAAACTGCCCAGCTGGGAATGGGAAAGGGAAGTCAATACAAGTAAAGTACACAATTACTTACAGTTCTTGTCTACAATTTGGCACAGGATGTAAATATAATTGATTGTAACTATTTCATGTATTTTGCATTCTTGTAGCTCAAAGAGTAGAGCAGGACGTTAGCTACACCACAGTTATGGGTTTGATTTAACAGATAAAATTAGGGAATATCTTCAATGAAGTGTTCATCGCTTTGAATAACAGCGTCTGCCAAATGTCAAATTTATGTTTAATGTATTTTTGCTGTATGAAAACAATTTCATTCAAAACGGCTCGTCTGTGCTTTTCTGCTCTTGGAGATTTGTTCTGGCGCTTGGACGCGGCTCGAGTCGGACCCAGCGCTCGGACCCTGCAGAAAGTGGGCTTTGCGTCTTTAAGACTCCCCTGAAGTTTGAGATGCACACACGAGGGCTCGCGGCTTGGGTGGTCTCTCTACTCTGGTGAGCTGTTGCTAAGCAGCTAATAATAGTCGTGTTTGCTGAGTAATTTTTGCCCTTCTGGAACCAATCAGAGCCCAGGAACCCCAGCCCTCTGACAGCCCCGGAGGCGGGATTTCGAGTGGCTTTGCCACGCCCCTCCTCCTCTGTCTCCGAATGGAGAGTGATTTTTTTTCACATCTATTGAATCTCTCAGAGATCGCCTTGTCGCGCGGCCTGAGGAGGGACCACATAGATCACAGAATGCTTCAGCCAGCGAGGGCTCGACGTTTCCACAGCATCCACTTCGCCTTCTGATATCGCGGACTTTCCGGCGGGCGGCGTGAAAGTGGGGAATTGTTGGAGACCTCCAGATTCGCGAAATGTTGGAATGGAAGGCGCAGACTCTGACTCGCCGTCTCAAACAGGAGTATGAAGTGCTTCGCGGATCTGGGATCAACGAGAGACAAACTTGGTTTTCTTCGGATATCACTAAACGCTCGCGGGGAAATACACTAGCGCGGATAACGAGACGCTCGGCGCAGACTTTGCAACATGGCCTCGGCTGTTAATGTGTCCTCCGAGCAGGAAAACAGAGACCCCGATCGGCCGAGGTTAACGCGGAGAAATAGGGGCAACTCTCGGACCGCCGCGGCGGATTTGGAGTATTTGCAGCGGCCGAGCTATTGCGATGCCGCCTTTGCATTGGAGCAGATTTCAGAGGTGCTTTTATGTTTGCCCCGTTCGTTGGGAATGCTCTGACAAAGTGCTCAACTTTAGTGAAGTCGCTAGGTAACGGGATAGCCACGGCACCGATGGGGGTGTCTATGCGGGAAGCAACCTGTAGCCGCTCGAGGGATTCGCTGCGTTAGTTCCCCGCTATGTCCATCTGTCGCGATTCAGTAATTGTAAACGTAACTGTCAGACGAGAAGCTGAGCTCGGAACGTGAAGCGAAGGGTCTAAAGTTTTGTTAGTGATGTTGGCCCTAGCCGACTGATTGAAGCCCCCTCAGATAGGATCTACACTGGGAGTAGTTTTCGTCCCGTACTGCTCAGTGTCGATCCATGTGGCTGCCCTCTTCCGTTCACAAATATTGTCGTAACTCCCTCTGTGATGGCTGCAGCACTTCCCAAATCACTTCACATCGCGTCCCTTCAGCAATGCGACCCACGTGCATCTCCGATATTGCATGGCTTTGGACACTGTAACCTGTTTCCCTGATACGATGTCCAAAGGATGCAATCTGACACATTGCAGCAAGACTCAGATTTAAATTTAGTTTATGTGTGGAACTAGAACCCAATTGAATTAAACTGTTTGAAAGCCGAGAATGGTACAATTAGTATGGCAAGCCGTTTTAACATTTAGTCACTGGAATTAAGTGGTATTTCTTTTTGTTACTAGTAATTATTTAATACTAGGAAGTCATCTTTTTCAGTTTCATTAGTAATAACTATTTGTCAGTTAATAGTCATCATTCTTTTGCTTCTAGTCACAATCCAAAATAATGACAAATAACATTTTTATTGTTATTGGTGGCATTTGCCGTTACATTCTTTGGGAATCTGTTGATCAAACATGATGGTTAATTTTTATCTAGTATATAAACCAGATTTTCTAGCACTTATTTGTAAGACGCCTGAATCTGTCTAATTCTTATAACATTATAAGACTAATTGTGGCTGTTTTAATTGTCATATGTAATTACCAGTCATAATAGCTACTCCATATTTGATTTAAAATCTTACTGGTAAGATTAGGAATCATTCTAGTGTCAACTTGAAGACACACTTGTGTCAAATGAATAGGTACTAATGTCTGTTTAGTACTAGGAAAACTGGAATAGATAGTTGTAACTAAAGAATAAATACTTGCACCTAATGAAGAGTTACAAGTAATACTGGAATAGATGCTAATCTTAAATTGGAGTTGGAGAATTCAAATTTGCCATTGGATACAACAGAACTTGTCACTATTGGGATAGCGACTAATTGCACAGGACTAAGTCTTACTAGTATCTAATACATAGTTATTACTTGTGACACTGAAAAAGTTATTATTGGGTTACTTACTAGTAATAAAAAATAAGCAATTAATATATTTTTGAGGAATAATTGTTAAAATGGCTTGCCACAGAAATAAATAATGCTTGAAAGTGTGGAGAGGCTACTTTTAAGACTTTGAGTCGTGTTGTTTATACATACCTCTAGTTGTTTAATACATTTCAAGAAATTCTTTTCAAAGGAAGAAAGTAGTTTATTCATGATAATATATTATTATTTTCTGGAAATCAGTCGATAAACTATGACTATGCAATGATGGAATTTAGTTTCATCTTTTTAACAAGGTGATGAGTTTAATATTTGCTCTCTCTTGTCTTGTAGGGGAAGGCGACTGGGAGGAAAGCGCCGCTGTGGTTGAGAGCAAAGTTTCAAAGACTTTTGTTTAAACTTGGCTGTTACATACAAAAGAACTGCGGAAAGTTTTTAGTTGTGGGACTTTTAATATTCGGAGCTTTTGCTGTTGGCTTAAGGGCAGCTAATCTGGAGACGGACGTGGAGAAACTCTGGGTAGAAGGTAAGAAGCTGTTTTCCTTCTACTTTAAGCCTTTCTAATACGTTTTCCCCTCAAGTGTAATCTAAAGGCAGACCTGAAGCAGTGGGTGGGGTGGAGGTCTGTCATGTAAGCTGAAGGAATTGTTTATTGTATAGAAATCTGGCAGAAATCCAGATTAAACGTGAAAAGAATGTTTTTCGCTTCGAATTTGCCTCGCGCGCACGAACGCAGTGTGTTTATGGAACACGATAGCGCGCGCGCCGATTGTATCCAAGTTCGATACATCAGTGGGTATATGATTTAGATAGCAATGTGAGTGTTTTTAATACGAATAGCCGCCATTTTGTGAGTGTGTGCGAGTAAGTGTGTGTGTGTCTGCCTCCAGCAGTTGAATCTGATCCGCGCTGCTCACAGAGCCTGTGTGTGGTCCTGTTTTGGACAGCGTTCAACTTTCCAAAAAGATTTGTCTCAGAGTTTCAGCAGGAACCGAGCGAACTGCAGGCAGAAACGTGCACCCAGACCCGACACAGACTACAGCGCACATGCGGCTTGAAGAAAGTTTGAAAGAAAGTTGTTTTATTTTATGAATAAGTCAGTTGTGAGAAGTTGGGGCCGTAGTGTGGGTGGTGATTTGTTTGAAGGGGGAGGGGCAAACAGGCCGTTTTGCGTTGATCTACATTCCTGAAGTTTAAAGAACCTTTGATAGGACCATGGATGATATGAGAGCTTTCCTTTTAGATGGTTTTGCAGTCATTCTTTTTATATTAAGTTATTATAATTGGATGAGCTGGCTTTTAGTGCGTTTTGGACTGTAAATACATGCCATGTTATGTTTATCCAGGGCAGATATTAAAGTCAGTGGTGTGTGGTAGATTTATGAAATCAGGAGACAGTCACCCTTCCTTTTTTCATGTTATATTTCTACATGATGTGCCTTTAAACCAAAAACTGTGTAAACATGAAACACTGTTTACCTTTACACTATAATCGGGCAACTAGTACTGTAATATTTGTGTATTTCTATAAAGTCTCATTTGGGTGTAGATCACCGTTTCAAGTCGAAAGTAGTGATGTTTGAGTGGGTGAGCAGATTATTCTGTAAGGTTTATGAATTCACACCATTTTGACCAATTCAGTGCTATTTGCCAACCTTTTTCGAGCACGATAGGTGGCTGTTGTAATGATAATGTTGTTATAATTGACCGATTGTCAACAGTAATTGACCTATCATAATAAGATACGTCATGTCATGTGACTTTTCCCAGTATTTTTCAGTTAGCCCCCATGAAACAATATTACCTTATAGAAATGAGCGATTTTTACACTAATTGATATTGTTTTTATACTGTTACATAACTGCTAAGTTATTGTCTAATCAGTTTTTTTAAGGAGGCATTGCGTCCCTTGGAGAAAATGTCCTTGATTAGGCACATAAATAAAATGTCTGTTGTTCTTTTGACACGTCTTAACTTTAAATTATAACTAAAAATAGCAAAGAAATATTCATGACTTCACATTTACTCCTTGTAGTTGGCTTTATTTAATTTTGTGTCTGAGGTATATAGGCATTTGTGAGACTGGGCTGAGTGAGTGGGCCTAATGTTTGAGAAAAATATTGAATTTAGAAAAGTATATTCACATAGTGTGTATATTATAGGATATTTAGGTATATTGATATACTACTCTGGTAAAGTATTTGAGGTATTTTTATGTTCCTGCCCATCTAAGGAATTAAATTGAGTTTTTTAAAAAGTTGCGTTTCTGCCTTTTTTAACAGATCTATTCAGAACTAAAGAAGGAAATCGTTTTATTGGCTTTATGATCTCACTGGCCTCTTTTTTTTCCTTTTCTTTTTTTTACTTTACTAATTTGCCCTTGAGCAGACACTTTTTCATCCAATGCAACTTAAATTACACTAGCTGTAGTTCCAGTCCCCCTAGAGCAGCTTAAGTGATTGCTCAAGGCTACTATGGTAATGGAGCAGGTGCAGGGTCTCTGAGTTTTTTTTTTGGTCAACCCTACATGAGTCTCATTTTGGAACCCTTGTGCAGTAGCAGCCTAGATGCTTAAACCTCAGTCTGCCCTTGAGAGAGAAACCTTTGCATTAATGCTGAATATTTCATGGAGTGTCACATCTTTAGTAATATTCTCAGTATAACAGTATAGTCATTTTTGTGTGAACCTTATCACAAACACATCGCTTACCCAGAGCTTTATCCTCTCTGCAGTTTTATCTCTGTTGCTCACTTCCACATTTCCTTTCCAAGAAGTGCAGGAGGTTTGCAGATGAAGTATGACAGTCGGTTGCTGGACACACACTCACTCACACCTCAGTTGTTCCCATGTCGAAGCACATGACAGCTTCCAGATGCAGTAACATTGAGATCTGTTTGTTTAGATTAAACTCCACAGCTGAGGGATAGATTAGTTCTGGTTGGCCAGGTTCTGTGCTGGGAGATGTCGGCCCAGCGTCCATTAGGATGCATGTTTATGTTTCGTTTGGAACAGTCTTTTGCTAGCGACCTCCAAATGACCCTTCGTTGAAGCTCTTGTCTCTTACTCTCCCTTAAGTTCAGCTTGAATGGGATTCAGTGTGATCTCATGTTGGCTTTCATCACTTGCCATTGAGGGCTGTTACGCTCCAACCATTATAATTTGTTTGGTTGCTCTACAGATTTTCAGCATTACATGATTGATGTAGATAATGTTGTCATAGCTTTCCAGACACTGGCTGAATCCTCTCGCTGATCTGATATGAATGTAGCTTTGATGTTTTGTAGGCTAATGTTTGGAGTTGTGGAGATTTGTGGACCTCTAGCAAACTTCTTCAGGTTTGTGCAGAAAGAGTAATACAAATATTTCTATATACTTATTTTATAAATAAATATAGATTAAATGTATATATTTAAATATCAAAAAACATAAATGTATTTTATTTGATTATTTAAAAAAAATCTAAATAATGGCTTCGACTTTGCTGTTATTGTAGATGACCTTTTTTATTGTAGATTAAACGAGTAGCCATCTTTTTTGTTTTCAAAATCACAGGCTCCCAAGTTTTTAAAGAAAATACATGATTTTAAAGGCTATTTGTTGGTATAAGTTCTTGCAAAAACAAAGAATCTTCTGAATGTGTGTTGTGCAAAGAGAGAGAGCAAGAAAAGAAAGCATAAAAAAGCAAAACAGCCAAATTAAACTGAAAAAAATACAAGAAAAAACTAAACAAAAGAAATAATCACAAAAATTTAAGAAACGAACAAGAAAGAAAAAATAAACAAAAAGCAAAGAAACGAACAAGAAAAGAAAAAAAAGAAACAATCAAGAAAGACAGAAAGAAAGAAAGAAAAATTTAAAACAATACGAAAAAGGAAGAAAGAATGAAAGAAAGAAAGAGAAACAATGAATGAATGAAGGAGAAACAATCAAGAAAAACCAACAAAAAGCAAAGAAACAGACAAGAAAAAAGATAAACAAAAGTAATAAATAGACAAAAAGAGACAGAGAAGAAAATAGACAAGTCAAAAGTGTTGTGTTGCATCTGCCCCAGAAACGGCTCGTCTGTGCTTTTTAATACAAATATTTCTATATACTTATTTTATAAATAAATATAGATTAAATGTATATATTTAAATATCAAAAAACATAAATGTATTTTATTTGATTATTTAAAAAAAATCAAAATAATGGCTTCGACTTTGCTGTTATTGTAGATGACCTTTTTTATTGTAGATTAAACGAGTAGCCATCTTTTTTGTTTTCAAAATCACAGGCTCCCAAGTTTTTAAAGAAAATACCAGCACCGCCTGAATTTAATTAAAACAGTTTCACATAAACATTCGCCTTCCCCTCCTGACCGCTTTTGAGAGGGACCGCTTTTGCAGTGAAATCATTGAGATATCAGGGTTTGGGTTGTCCCATTCTCTTGTGTGGGGGGTAGCATGAGCCTCTGGGCCACAAGACTTCGTCCCTTAGGACCTGACGTCATCGAGTGGAGACTCCACTATTTAAAAGCTAATCTGATACTGGCTACATGACCTGGGTGCAGAGTGAGGGGTTCCAGCTAATGCCAATGATGATGAGAGAAGGTTTACTACTACGCTAGCCCTCCTGTGGAAGAGGAGTTGATCGATTTAAAGGTAATAAATGAGTCATTTAACCAGCAAGATATATTTTTGTGCCCCAGCAGGGGGCAGTGTGAATTTATTAGATTGGTGATAAATGTGCAGTTAATCTGGAAGATGTGTAACTTGGGTTATTTTAATCACTTGTTTGTCTTTTTAGTGCAGATTTGATGTTTTTCACTGTGTTTTATGAGTAGAGCCATTCAATTTTCTCTCTTCAGGTGTTTACTCTTTAAGTTCTTTCATTTGACGTGAATTGTAGGATGAAAATGCCTTTGCATTCAACAGGTGTGGACATATTGACAAACCTCCCCTGGTTTCCTAGTGAAACATGAGGACGGTTAAGAGTTAGCGGTGTGGAGGAGTGTATAACCTGCAGTTCATGTTGGGAAGAAGTCCTCTTTTAATATGAAGGAAGTGGCTGAAGAATGTGGCCTCCCCGCATTGTGGTGAAGAGATGGGGATCTAGTGGAATTCTCCGTTTGGATGTGCTCAGGAAGGCTTGGACACACATGGCTGAACTGTAAGGGATATATGTGCAGCCCTGAGGGCTTTAAGGGGTTTGAAGTTTGAACTAGATTTCTTCTTTCTAAGATTGGAGAACTGGGGTCTGTGTGCCTGCCCTAAAACCTTAGTACTTCATGTAAAAACATTGTAGAGATAGCGATAGAATTAATAATTATGATAACAGTTAAAAAGCAACTGTGATAGCTAATATAGATTACATTTAGATGGACTAGATTTCTACATTTTGTGGAAAACTCGCTGCCACAATGCTGGAGTGTTGTTGGGGATTCTCAGTAGTGGTGGGCGATATGAGCAAAAATTCATATCACGATATTTTACACTGTCCACTGTCACCTTATATAACTAGAAAAAGTGAGGGATTGGACATAGACC